TTTAGGCTAATAATTTCTCATCAATCATACTAGCATACAGTCATAATAATGGAATAAAGTGTCAATATGATGATCAAATCACTACATGATAAAGTTAAAAGAAATATGCTACATGTACAGATTCATTTTGCCAGAATGATGTCTGATTCATACTTGACAAGATTTCATTGGCAGTTGTGTCAAAAACATTTTTCAACTATCCAATCACAAATTGTCAAATATGAATTTGGTACCAATATGACAAAATGAATATGTACAAGCAACATAAATCAAGTTAAAATAATCACATTTCCAACACGGGGAAAGCCAAAGTGACGAGCCCGTGGACATCCAGGGGCTTGTCACCCAAAGAATCGCCCTTCCAACACTACATTAAATAATAAATATAATCAACAGTAACCATGGAGTTATGCAGCCATAGTTGACAGATCCAGCACGACTTCTAGGAAATCGATAATCCAACACATTTAAAACAGAATGAACAGTCATCAAAGAAACTGGATTTTTTAATATTCACAAGTATTATATACAGATATCGGGCGAATGCATCATTAGCATAGACTACCCTTAATCACTTTCATCCTCCTCCTCATCTCCAAATGTGAAAACAGATGCATCAGCAGCCATTGCCTTGAACTCACTTACCTCTCCTGCTGAGTTTTCAACCGGATCCTTCTTTGACCGAGTATGTACGGACCCTCCTTTTCCTAAAGAGACTTTCTCGGTCTTGTTGGCCAAGCTTGCAACTTGCTTTGGGTCGAGTTTGTCAGGCGGAGAAGCTGTTGTGCTATCTGTTCCACTCATTTCAGGAGCTTCTTTAGTTTGCCTAGTTTTGGATGACCCAGTTTCCTCTGCCTCACTGTCAGAGAACACATCATCCTTCTCCTGATTTCCGGAGTCTTTGTTTGAATTTGTCGCAGCCGCAGCCACTTCCACAGGAGTAGGAGGACCAGATACTCCAACCGGTGTACTAGCAGTGGCTTCTGATGGAGGTCTAGCTAGAACAGCAGCGTCATAATCCACGAGCACAACTTCAACCTGGAAACCTGGGGATGGTAGTTTTCTCTGTGCAGAAGAGTCCAGAAAGCAAAATTATAATTTATGCAGTGGCTGAAAGCATCACCACCGATAATTCAAAATAAGCCATAGAGAAAACAAAATTTGAAAGAGAGGAAAACAGCAAAGTCCAAATGTCTGAAAAAATCAAGATTAACTTCTTTTGCCATTACTAATTTACTATTCATTTTATTTTTGGGGTCTTGGTGATGAAAGTGCAAGAACCCTAATTATGTGGGACCAAAAAGCCCACAGAGGACGACATGAAAATATCAACGCTGAATTTGCACGAATAAGTCATCCCAGAGGAGGTACTTGAATTAAGAACCTTTTACCCTTGTGACTTCAGCACTTTATTTGGCACAACTCCAAGGCCTCGATGACATCAAAGTAACGTACATTGTGCACAAAATAATGTATGTTTACCTTGTCAAACCCATCAAGATCACTAGTGTTTAGAACTTTGCGGTTTTCAATCATCGTTGTGTTCAACCAGCTGATAATCAAGAAAACCAAAAGATATTACAAACAAAACAATAACAAGCTTTTAGAATGTACAAAAAAGAAATACAAAAGCATAGAAATCTTCCTTCAACAGACTTTCGTAGTGGAAGGGAAGATGGATATGTTATTTATGCATTTACCAAATATACTTCGGTATATTAGTATGTTATTATACCAATAGAAGTCTCCTTGGCGATCATGAAAGTGGATTTTGAAATCGCCAGCCAACTCTGTCAGTCCAGGCTCTCCAGGAAGAGCAAAGACCATTATCCCCTTCTTTGGTGCAGTAAACCAAAAATCTTCAGGCTGCATAAAAGCCCGAAGAACACTCAGTTAAACTTCTTCGGGACTTAAATATCCCAGAGGCACCAAAAATGGGCACATAATAAATGCTCCGATTCTCCAAATGGCTCAACATGGAGGTTATTAGCAGTCAATAACCCTAAAAATTTGTGGTAAGTCTGGCGATAAAAATTGATTTCAACTCAAGTCAAGAAAAATTTATAAAATTATACTATATTATTTAGACATCAGATGGGGGCATAGACAAATATAAAAGTCAACATATCCTACGGAGATATCGATACTATACCACCTCAAAACACTATTGAATAAAAATAAATAAAAACTTGATATAAAATTAATCATAAAAACATGAATAGAATAAAATAAATACATGCAAATTAGTAGCTATCTTAATAAATATTAATTGTATCTAACAAATAACAACAAAACAACAACAATAACAAACTAAGCCTTATTCTCTATATATTTGAGGCTACCTGAATGCTTTTTCACCAGCCCGCTCAATTGTATCTAATTGATAACATATACAAAAAGTTCACTTGTGTCCCTTAGGTAACAAGTGTGTGTTTAGTATTGCTTTTAAGTACTTAGGTAGTGGGTAGAAAATTGTGGATAATAAATAAGTAAGAAGAGTAGGTAAAAGTTGTGGGTCCTACGGAATGCCTAGATAAATATAGAGTTTAACACACTTATAAGCAATTATAAGCTTTTCAAAACATGAACTAAGTACAAACTTTTAATTATCTACAACAAGAGTCTTTGACTTTGTAGAACATGGCAATGTAACTAAGTTTAGGTTATATACTAAAAATGGCAGAAATGAAGGCGTAGGTGAATAAATCCAACTGAAAGACTTTAGATATCATTTAGCTTCAAATTATTGTTGATGGAAATACCAGGTTATTTTGGAATAGAAATCAAGGCTATTAAGTCCTTAGCTGCATATATGACAGTAGATTGTTAAAAAATGTACACATTTTTCATTTGCCCTAGAAGACTGGTGGATAGAATATTTCTAAGATAAAATACCATTCCACAACCCAACCACAATCTCTCTATAAAGTTCACCAAGATGTCCAGATAATCAATAATTCCACAAATTAATATCTAAGAGAATGTCTCTAATTGCAGAACATACACTAACGTACCGACAGATCCTTGGTTCTTGGATGTTTTTTGGTCGAAAAGAGCACTCCTGCAAATGAGCAAAGCACGTGTCTAGATAAAATTGCTAGCATAAAATGCACATGAAGGACAGTCAAAAGTGAATAAAGAGATGCCACAAGATGAAAAATTAGTGAAACAATCAATTGAAAGTAGAGTTAATATTATAATGTGCATATAACATTAACAAATATGTAGGTTAGAGACAAACAAGGAAATAGAGCAGCACAAAAATTGATGTTCACATGAGAAAAAGATAAAATAAAAGAACAAAAATACAAAGATGCAACTTACCATTATGATCAGATACCGTAATAGTGGGTCGGATCCAGTAGGGGCATCTATGAAGCCGGAAGCCTCTAAGCATGCACCTGCAACAATGAGACTTGATATTAATTGACAATATACTAGATAAACCACGTACATCCTGTATCATCCTCAGTTCATTTTATATCAGATTTGATCGCATTACAAAATACAAAAGAATACTAATGTCAAACTTGGAGGACCACATTCATCACATAAAACATAAATTCTCTAGCACAAACCCAGAAAATGAGATTTAAATATGAATCAAAGTATCCAGTACCTGCGCCCAGGCTGGTTTTCTCCGTTGAAGTATGTCAAAATACGTTCAAAATACTTGACATATCTCTACATAAAAGAACAAGACTTATCAGATGAAAGAATCCCGTGAAAAATCTATTTTAAAAACAGTATAAACAATTACTCACGATCTGACTAGGCAGAACAAGCCCTTTCCCATCAACACATCTTTTCTGATTGTAATAATCAATAGACTCTTCAGCTGTGGGAAAGAACTGCATGATAATAACAATTATGTAAAATAACTGTCACCAAGACTCACCAAAGAACTGTCAAAAGCCTATAAAAAATTTAGGGAAGAAAGTCTTTTCCCTCAACAATTTTAACATAACTTTGGTGTCAACAACATAAGGAGCTTCTTCGAGTGAAAACATAAACCTCACCTTCAAGTACAGAAGAAGACTAGAAATCATCAGCCCGTCCTCGCCATTCCGGCTTTACAGTGCACGACCACAACATTTTCAATATCCTCCTTCAACCATGAATATGCACTATGACAAAATGATATTATGAGCTGAATAGGAGGGCAATTGTGGTCTTCAAATGGAAAACTAGCCACCTGTAATAGGAGAAGAAGATAATATTGAGAAGCTATAATATAATCTTTACACATCTTCCATTCGGTAACCTCAGTTTAACTAAACATTTTAAACTCACACATAACTCAATTCGGAGAAATCTTCGAACTTTAACAGCATAATGTCACTCTCATTATAGATAAATTTGGGCATTAGTAAATTTATAGTAGCAGTGAAAATAATTGTTTTCATGCTAAAAGTTTCCAGCATAGTAGAGCATGGAAACTTGGCTTCACCAGTCACACAGGAACGGTAACGTTCAAAGCTTGCAGTCAAAGCCTGACCGAGATTAGAATAATCCCCACCCACCAACAGAAAGAAAAACAAAACCACAAGAGAAAAAAATAAAGAAAGAAAAGTGCATGCCAATAATGAAAGAGGAAAAACTGAATACTAATTCCATAAAGAACCCATAATTTCAGAATAGCAAGGAAACAGTTTCAAGAAAATTTAAAGCTCAACCTCTAAATCAATTAGAGAAGTTAATAGGAAGTGCTGCAAAATTAAAAAGAGGAGCAAGAACAATATAAGGATAATAAGAACATCGAAATTGTTGCTACAGCCATAGTTTAAATATGTGACTTGAATAATCAGAGAAGATGATAAAATAAAGAAAAGCACACCTTTCCTTCAAATAGTGATACGTCGTACAATCTCTCAGAACAGAGATTGTAGACTTTGTATTTCCCCTGCATGATTAAAATCAAGAATTTCAGTCAGTTACAATATGAATTATGAAATAACAGAAATTTACGATCTACAGAAGCAAATAATAATCGATAGCCATTGCTTAAACGTTCAAGCAATAGGACGGGATATTTAATGTTGTGCCATACCAGAATTTATAGTTGTCAAAATGGGTATTGGTAAACACCATTATATGGACATTACCTGGTGATAAGTTTCAAAGAACTTGATTACTTCCTCCATGTGGTTCCGATAAAATCCCTAGATTACATTTCCATTTAATTCAAAATAGGATATCATCACAAAACAGTGATTAGGATACATCTGATTTTACAGAAACTTATTATGTACCTCAACATAACCAAAAAAACCAGAGCTCATGTCACCAGCAGGGAAGCCCATGGCAATAATATTCTCTGTGATGTAAGTCATGTCTAAGTCGAATCCTCCTTCCTAGAAGTAACGAAGGTAGCCACACATTAGTAGGTAAAAGTTCTCTGAACACAAAATGATAAGAAGTAATTTGCATACCAATGTGAGCAGGACAATTTCAAACAGAATCACATGCCGCATCAACTACTGTAGCTACTTTTAGGGAAAAATGAAAAAGAAATGAAGACAACCATCAAAAGCTTACACTTGTTTTAAAAAGATTGAGCTTACAAAAGCATTTCTGCAAACATGTGGAAAGTACGAAGTGGCCATAATGGATAGAGAAACTAGTCCCAACCTTAAATGGGCAATCGGCTGTGGAGTAAGAGGGTAAGGGGAGGAGGGGCTGGTTGCCTTTCCTTACGCTCTTCTTAATTATTTATTCATTTTACTTTTTGCATTTACCATATTTCAGGGAAAACTTTCATGTGCCAATCATGCTATTAGCTAACTGATTCTTTGAGTAGATCTGATCAGGGGGTACGCAAGTGCTACGAAACAAAAAGTTGGAGACCTATATGTATGAAAAGTTGGTCGGAGACTGAAGTGCTCATTTGTGTAAAGTTTGGGAACTTCGGGTGCTATTTTACCCAATAATCATATTAGACAAATTCACCATATATTTGTTAGACGTTTATGATAGTCTAAAAGAAAAAAATTAGGCATCAAACCAGCAGTTACTAACCTGGTATCTTCGTTTATTTTGAGACACAACATGTCGAGCTTTGACCTGTACGGCCTTCACTGCACTCTTAGATGAATCAACTAACCCTTTTGTGATAGTTCCAATAAAACCTGGCTGTGTACTTGTCACAGACCCTTCAGAACCTTCATCTCCCTGAGGAGATTTTGGTGACAAGCGCAAGCCAAGTCCACCAGTGAAACGAGCAAAAGATGACTTCCCCGAATTTCCAGATGGTGATTCATCTTGCGATCCCACAAATGGCTGCGGAATTTTCAAATTTTTTGCCCACGTGGTGATGCCAGAAGCAGAGAATTTAGAGGGTGCATCATTTGCTGAATTTTCTGGAACAGGTTCCAAAGAAGTGGGCATTGCCATATCTGCAGTCTTGTTACGTGGAGGGGTTGATGAATCAGAAGAGTCCAGGTTCATTCCCCACGGCTCAGAGCTATCAATAGCGTCCAATAGCAGAAGTATTCAAGATGAGAGCATGAGAACCTCTCTGCAAACCAATTTTTAACACATCTTTTATCTATCTTAGGATTTCAGCAAAGAAAACTCACCAAGGGAGATGGTTGAACAAAGCTATTTATAGATCCTTTTTATTCTGATTAATAATTTGAGGAGAAAAATACAAGGAAACAAGAAAGCCGTGCTAAGGTTCTTTAGATGTAAAAACAGCCAGGAAAAATTAGCTGCTTCAAAATCATATAAAAGAAGAATGGCAAGAGACAATTTTCCATTCCTGAAGTAAACTTTAATTTCAGCATGGAGCAGGGAATAATTACATTATCTAGCATTTAGGAGTACATATAAATATATTAAATAAGTAATAATCACAGTGGCCAAGATCTTATGAGTACTTCAAACTTTGCCTCAATTCAAGCGATAACTAGAAAGAGTATAGATGCTCTAGTCTATAAGGTCATCAAATAAGTTCACAAAGAAGAAAAGAACACAACTAGAGATGGATTTTGTACATAGACTAAAATAGAAGTATATAGAAATTCATTGTATCTGTGCTCATTTTTATTGAAATGGTTGGTGGCACCAAATAAAAGTAGCCAGAATCCACGAACCCAAAATTTGAATACGCAAAGTTTCATAATTTCTTTTTACGAATTTCAATTAATTTCTTCGCAGATCCGAAATATACACCATTTTAAGAGAGAAGCAAAAAAAATTATTTTTAAATACTCACTGATCTCGGATTAATAAAGACGAACTTAAGCTACCATTCTACGTGTGTTTGCGCACAGACGGCGGAGGAAAGAAGGTTTGAAACTCACTGGAAATCAGAGTCAACGTCGGCGCAGGTGGCTGGAGCAGTAGATTCTCTGGATCAACGGTGTCGTACTGTCGTTTATTTATCTTTGTTCGCCGTTTGGTTCATAGCGTTGAGTGTGCTGGTGTTTTACCTCCAATAAGTTCTTCTCACCTCTCCTTTCCTACAAGGGCCCTAATCTATAAAATTGTGTACATTTTAGTCAAATTGTGTACATTTTAGTCATAGGTCCTCTTATTCTGTCACATTCCTATGAGAACCTCATTGTGTAATCTAAATATCTAGAGTCTGTTTGGGAGTGATTTTGAGAATTGATTTTTTGATCGTTAGAAAAAAAGTGGGGTCCACCTGTAAGAGAAGAAGTCAAATATGACGACTGAAATAATGAAATAACGGTCAAAAAATCACTCTCAAACAAGTTGCTAATTTCCTTTTCAAGCCAACAAATATCTTTTTCTACATAATTTCTTGTTCAAAGTTCAAACCTTCTATTTAGGATTGAACAAAATCGTGGAACTGCAAAATCAAACTGAAATCGTTTGTTTGATTCCATGTGAATTCATCAACATTTTGATTTTGAACCGAACCAAACAATTTCGAAAGGTTTGATTTAGGTTTCAATCTTTGTAAACGGTTTACAAATAAATAAATAAATAAAATCTGAAAATAAATTAGTCTGAATTTATTTAACCCAATTAAAATTAACACATTTCAATTAAAAATATATATCTATATTAGACATAATTCAATTAAACTCAATTCGACAATTATGCATTTTAATTAATTAATTAATCCAAATACTCATCAGTCATCACAATTGCAAATGTAAAACCTTAAAATTGAGTAAAGTGTTGAACAATTGTTGCTAAACCATATTTATCGATCCTCCACTACAATTGAACTAACAAATAAATCTAAATTTTAATTCAAATTTGCACATTTCGTTTCTTTTCCTCAAATTTTTTTTATTTAAATTCAAGTCAGATTATCCAAATTCTTTTATTTTTTCGTAATCTTTTTCTATTTTTTATTGGTAGTTATGTTGTTTTGATTTAATAATAGTGGCTTAAAGTAATTCGCCAATATCTATATAGAGTAGAAGCTTTGGACGGTTCACAAAACGTCATGGCATTATTGTATATGAATTTTTTATTTATTTTCTTTTATTAGTTTTTTTATATCATTTAACTATAATAAATAAATACATGTACTATATTTTTATATTTTTGAAGAAAATCAATCGTGTATTACAATTGCAGATGGACGTTGTTACGTCTTCTCGGCAGAATACACTTCAACACACGTTGAGGCGATGCGAAGCCATAGCCAGGTAGACTAACCAAAGCGTTACTATCCAAAGTGGTATGGTTCGAAGCGAGGCAGACTAGCCGAAGCGTTACTATTCGAAATGGTATGGTCCGAGGCGTTACGACTGAAGTCCCTCAACCCAAGATACGAATCTTTTAATAAAATATTCGTCATAAGATCTTTAGGAATGATGAATGTGACATCTCTGCAACATATATCAACTCCAAGTCTAAAAAATTAAATGCTGGCCCACCTAGAAAATAATTAATAGACGCCTCGCAATGATAGATGAGTCCATGTGTCCCGTATCTAACAATGCTCTTTTCAACCTTCACCTTATAAATACCAGAGAGCATAGCCTTTGCAAGGTAAGGTTACTTCATAACTTAAGTTGATATATTCTCTTCCCTCTTACATAAAAGCCCAACAATTGTCACCATCAGAATATGTCTATCGTCGACTAACTTGATCATCAAAGTGTATGTGACCGCTACCACTTTCATTGGGATTGGCCATATTCTTCTAACCATTTTGCCATGTGCAGGGAGGAACACATGTGGAGTAGCACCCGATTGGCCAGGTGAAAGGTTTATTTTACGAGGTCAATAGATGCCATTAGTATCGACTAAGATTTTTAAATATTTATATCATGTTGTTGCATTATAATGGTTATAATTATACAACTTTGATTTGTAATTTTTATTATACAATTTATGTTTTAAAGTGAAATTTTAGACTAATATTTATGATTTAATTTATTTGATATATATTAATTTTTCTTTGTTACGCCGTGGTTTTAAATCGAACTAAACCCAAAAAATGGTTTGGATTGGTATGATTTAGAAATCAAGGTGGTTTGATTTGGAAAAATTCCAAATCACTTTAAATGGTTTGGTTTGAAATTTTTCTATCTTCACCCCTATTTTTATTCCTCTTTATAAAATGCCTTGATATAAATTGTTAGATACATTGTAATCATTGTATCACACCATATTGTCATACAATTTGTAAGAGCCACATTTCAAAAATTAGCCATTAAGGTTAGAGAACTCAAACTTATATAAACTACACAAAGGAAGCCCATAATTTCGATATGGGATTCAAACCCCCATAAGTTCCATTGGAACCATGACAAACCATCATGCTTTTAACCCTGATGCCCGGTCTAGAGACATGATACCTGCTCTGATACCAATGTTATAGAATTTGGAAAAGCCACACTTCCAAAGTTAGCTATTAAGAATGGAGAACTCAAGCTATTAAACCACACAAAGGAAACCATATTTCCGATTGAGATTCAAATCCCCACAAGTTCTACTGGAACAACGACGTGTGCTTAGAGATTCCTACGATAATAAAAGAGAACACATGATTTGCATTGTTTAGTCAACTATTGTAAATAAACTGTTCACAACGCTTCATCCCTAAATCACATCGATGTCATGTATTTTTTATTACCATCTTTACCCTTACGCATCTTTTTATTTGTCGTGTCCGATTTTTCATCTCTGTCTATCTCTTCCGTTTTTTAGATCTCCTTCTATCTCTTCCGTTTTTTGTTCTGCCATTTTTGACATCTTCTCTAGTGGCATCAATATCTTCATTCTTTCCCTCTCCAATTTTCGATTTGTTTTTCCAATTTCTTCCTTTTTCAATAAGCAAATGTCAGTTTTTGCTATGAATCTTGGGTATGTTGATTGGTTTACTGTTTATTTCAACATTGCCAAAAAAATTTAGGATTTTCCTAATTTTTTCCTATTTTGGCAAGTAAATGTCATTTTTTTCTACGAATCTTGAGTATGGTTGATGAGTTTACTATTTATTTGAATATTGCTAAGAATTTTCTGGGTTTTACTTTTAATTTTTCTCCTCGTCTTTAATTTTGGATTTTTCAGGAGCTGGAACTTGACAAGGTATTTAAAAATGGAGTGTTTACTGGTTATGACTATTTAAAATCATAATAAATAACGTTCATGAATCATGATCCTACTGTGATGTAGATTTTATTGGGCTAATTTGTATTTTACTTTTTTTTGACTATATACTATTTTAATCATTTCTTTCATTTCACAAATGCAAGCATAACTTTTCAAAGACTTTTCTAAAACAAGAAAAGCACGTCGCTCTTAGAGCTGGCTTATAGTTTTGTTGCCATTTCCTTTTATTTTATAATTATTTGAAAGTAACAGACAGTGCTAGTGCAACCACCCGAGGTGCTGGAAATGATGAAAGGGATGAAGAAGAGATGAGATAGAATACCAAATATGTAGCAACAAGATGAAGAAATCACAAATATTGTCAAGAACAATTTTTAAGGCTCGAACGCGGGATCGCTGTTCTTAAACGTTATTTGCCCACTCTACGGCGATTATGAGATGCTTAAGGATATTCCAACAAATGGTTTGAAGGATTATAACAAGCCTTTGCAAAGAATTTCACGAAAGCACATGGAGAAATTCTTCAAAACTTGAAGAACTCAAAGGAGGAAGTTTGAATATGAATGGAAACAAGATTTTCATCTTTGATGTGGAATAATGGATGAATTCAAGTGTTTTCAATAATAATAATGCATGAATATCGATCTCATATATATAGGCCTCGATCATGCACACGAAATGGTGCCAAAACAAACAAGAAACGCCACCAAATTCAAACCCGCAACCACCAAAAACAACCTCCAACGGTCGAATTTTTTGTACCATGCAACCGCATGGAGTTCTTCAAAATCGAGACTTAAGTCCCAATAAGTGGCCATGCGACTGATCGCATGGCCATTTTGCGCATGCGACACATGGCCATTTTGCCCATGCGGTCGCATGCGCCAAACTTTTGGCCCTCGTTTGGTTTTTAAATTCCATTCTACTTAGTTTTATTGAATGCTTGAACAATAATTTCAACAATCCCCCACTTGTTCAAAATTCAGTAAAATTCTCATATTTAAATCATATGATAGTCATGTATAGGGGTTAGATATATTTCGACTTGAATCTAACCATCATGCAATTCAAATAAAGTAAAGTCGGAATCAAAGGTAGCATGAAGTTTTGAACCAATTATTCTATATGACAATACTGGTAAGAACACATACGAGTACCATGTGTTCTCAAGTTTCTCATAACTCGCTTAGAGCTATTTTAGCCTTGCGCTTATCCTTTTCAACAAGATTTTAAGAGAAAAACTCCAATTCTCTATTGAGACGGCATCACCTCGAAGTTTGTCTAGGTGAAATCCTTCCAGTACCTTTGTTACTTTTAAAGGTACTTGTGTTTTATCACTGAACTTCATTAAGATCTTAAAGCTCATATCATTTTAATAACAACCAGCATTATTTTAATTAGGATAGGGTCATTATGGATTTGAATAATACTACAACTATTCACATATCGAATGACTTGTTATTACCTTTTGAACTCGTGAATTACCTTTTTGAGTAATGATAGATAGGGTTGTTGTCATTAGTGGACCTTTTTAATTAAGGAGATTCAACCCTATCTTACTCGAAGTAGATGCTACTAAATCTCTATATAGAGGTTTAGTCAAAGGATCAGCCAAATTCTCAATTGATCTTATATAATTTAGAAAAATTATTCCATCTTTGATTAATTTTTTTATGTAGTCATATCTAATACTCATGTGTCTAGACTGTCCATTGTATACCTCATTGTATGTTTTTGCTAATGTGACTTGACTATCACACATGATAGATATTGAAGAAATATTCTTCGATCCCAAAGGTATCTTTGACATGACCTGTCGCGAATCACCTGAGTGGATTCGAAACTTGATGTGCGCTGATGATAGATGCGACTAGATATTAAATCTATCACCGAGACTGATTATGAGTT